GCGATGGCAACGATCTCGGCCAATTGGCGACCGATCTGAACGCCCACACCGTCCATGCCACCGAGGCCGTCGTAGGGACCCATGCCGTCAAGGTCGTAGATCCAGGCTTGGCCGAAGATGCCGGTGAGGAATGAGCCAACCATGCCACCGATTCCGTGGAGCTTGAAGACATCCATGCCCTCGTCGATCTTGATCCACTTGTCGACGTTCTGGCAAAGAGAACAGATGGCCGCAGTGAGAAAGCCGATTAAGGCAGCGATCCACACAGAAACGTAACCTGCAGCGGGGGTGATACCAACAAGACCGGCGATGGCTCCAGAGCAAGCACCGACGACGGAAAAGTGACCCTTGGTACGGACGTACTCAACCGATGTCCAACCAAGCACGCCAAAACTGGCGGCGGTGTTGGTGTTGAACGCCGCCAGCATAGAGCGGACTGTGCCATTGAGAGCACTACCTCCGTTGAAGCCGAACCACCCAAACCAGATGAAGACAGTGCCTATGAAGACCAGTGTGGGGTTGTGAGCCTTTCCGTGAATCTTGTCACCCTTGTGTAGACGCTTGCCGAGGACGAAAGCGTATGCGAGGGCGGACCAGCCGGACGCGATGTGAACGGGACCTCCACCGGCGAAGTCAAGTGAAGGAAGGTTGAATAGCCAACCGTTTCTATAATCCAATTAGCTCGGTTCGATGATCATAATCGCAAGACTTACGCGTTCCATGTCCAGCATGCGATGGGGCAGTACACGATAGTCGCCCAACAGAAGGCAAAGACCATTGAAGGTAGGATGCGACCGCGTTCAAATGATCCACCGACGACGAGCTGCACAGTGCATGCACAGAAGAGCATCTGATACAGGCAAAAGACGATCTCGGGCAAGAACGATGAGCCGGGAGATGGCGCAGACATGACGTTCTTGAGGCCGAAGTTATCCATGTTGCCAATAAACGGACTGGCAGTGCGAGAATACGCGAGCGTGTAGCCCCAGAACATCCACTGGAAGGTAACAACTCCCATGACTGCAAAAGACTGGAATAGCATGGAGAGGGCAGACTTGCGACGTGAAAGACCAGAGTAGAGGAAGCCGATTCCAGGTATGATGAGGAACACAAGGAAGGCCATAATCATGAGGTAGATGTAGTGGAACTCCAGCCCTGTGTACTGAAGGTTGATATTCTCGACATCTGGATTGCCTCCATTGGGCTTCGCCGGATCGAACTCGGGCTACACAATTGTTATTCATGCTGCATAGCAGGTTGCCCCTAGCTGGAGATACTTACGGTGGGTGGTGGCTCCATGATTGAAGACATGTCGGTATATCGACCAGGACTGGGACCTCTGGGGTATTCTGGAAAGCAAAGACGGGATGGGCAGGGGCTCTCCAGGCTGATATATCTTCCCACCCGTTCTTTCACGCCATTCCGCCAATTTCAAGGGACCGAGATTGATGCGCCGTCGAGCCCCTGCTCGCCTTTGACGCCCACACATGCGAAGCTGCTGTGCCCCCAACGTCGAACATGGCCCGTCTTGGCAGCGATAAGCAGGGCGTTCCAAATCCCATAGTGATGGAGCCGAGCTTATAATGTGGAGCTTCTGGCTTGGGTGGCTGTATTTGGCCTGAGATTCGGTGCCGCGAAGGAATGCGAAGAAATCAAGCGCGCCGGACTGGATGTCTCAAAGGGCCAAGGACCCGTAAGCCACGGTCGCGCTTGTACCAAAGGGTGAGGTAGACTCTCAGGGTCTTGGTGGCTGATAAGAGACAGGATCAAAGCGGTATAGTCGCTTTGGCCTGAATGATAAGCCAGGATCGGGGTTGATTGGATAGGACAGGCAGCCTGCCGAAGGCCCTATGTATGAGAGTTTACGACATCGTCCTGTGTAACGCAATTTGGCGATAAGATGGGCGGATATTATCATCCTACTCTTGCGTGCTGCGGTGCAGCCGTTGTTGGCGGCTGATTTAATCCCGGCGGTGGTCCGTGTATCCGAACACTAGGTCCATGCCAACGCCGCGAGGCTGATCTACTACCAGGCTTCTCTTTGAATCAGTCCCTGAAGGTGTCTCGACTGCGCAAATAGATCGGCGACCGTTGTAGTCCTTTACGAGAGCGTTGCAGCATCGGGCGTTGCGCGAACAATTCGCTCCTTCTCGAACAAGCGCCATGCATTCCAAGTGTCGCCATATGCTGTGCCGCAAGGACGCGAGACCAGATGTACTGCACCGTAATTACCTGCTTCCCAAACCAACACGCGGTAAGGGGTACCTGCAGAGTTAAAACAGGCTGCTGGGTGCCGTAGTTCATACACTATGGATAGCGGTGGCTCATCTACCAGAGAGCAACATATCCGGCAGCACTGAGCACTAGGGCGTCCTTGGCTACTTCTGCCGCAATACTATTTCCGTTTGATCGTACGATGATTAGATGTGCCTATTCTGATGTCGTCTCGTGTCGTCTCATGAGCTGCTGAGATGTTTTGCTGTTAGTAGCAGGAGCCTTTGGGATACGCATCAGCTCAGTCATCAGCACCAGCACCATCAAGGTCTCCTCGTGTAAGGGTTTCTAGCATCTACCATAGTTTCCAGGTTCCTGCCAGAGCCAATTCATTGAGCCAGCAATGTCCTTTCCTCGGCATGTGTAGTGAAGCGCGCGCCGCGGCGTTGAAGGCGAAGAGGGCTACCGATCATGTGAAGGTGCATACTGCCAAGTTCTACATGGCCTGCAATTTGTCTGCATAGTCGTCAGAGCATGTTGAATGCATTATGCGATGGTACATACATTGCACGAGAAAGTGGCGCGTCCGTCAGCCTGCGCCGCTCGTTTCGATGCTAACAGCGTTGCAGGAAACACATCAAGATACCTAAGCCTTCAATCAGTTGAGAAGGGGATGATGACTGTACTGTCTTGTGTCGTGTTGGGGAGAGGGTAACGCTTCAGGTGGCTGCGAGGGCGTGGTTACTGCCAAGAGGACCGAGGTAGCTGGAACTGTCGTCATTTGGTTCCAACACCATCTCTCGCCCATCGTACGCACACGCGCGCACCCGCCGTGTACGAGCAGACCGGGCCGGACGGCACCCTCCGGAGAACATTCGAGATCTAGAGCACCGTCGACAGTCTCGATGCGACGCGCAGGATCCAAGCCGGACCCTACGACTTAGCGGACCAGAACCACTCTGCATCAACCACTGCGAGCCAACTCTACTGCTGGAGCCGGCTATCGCAATGACAACATGCAGAACCATGGTGCGACACCCCGCAATGCTTTCCTCTTCACCCCTCCTCCAGGCAGCCCAACATCAACAGCAGGTGGGCAACTCCAATGTGGCCGTTCAATGAGAGCTCCCAGCTGCCTTCATCTGCTAGTAGCATTGGAAGACATGCGAGAGTGGATGCCTTACGAGATGAGCTTCACGCTATGATATTACACGACGCGACAACCCTACCGCCAGGTCCCATTTCGCCCGATACGGCCCTTCCTTCCTCTCCTTCCTCTCCTTCCATTCAGCCTTCGCCTCAAGCCCGAACCCTCGCAGCTATCGCAGATATACCCGAAATACATACAGCGGTACTTGAGTCTGGGCCGCGGAGAAGGTCAGCTCATAGCAGTGGTGTCAGTGATGCACGGCGGTTTGGGTTATATCTTCCAAGCGCTACTGCGAGCGAGAACAACCTTGCGCTGCATCGACCTGGACCATTTATGCTTCACGGCTTACATCAGCGCACTACCAGCCTCCCACTCGCTTCTTCAGCGGCAGCGGCAGCGCTTGAGCACGGCGCTCCATGTCGACCTCAAACATCCCCGCATCGATACGACGACGCAACCAACCACGATCCTCCGCCAAAATACGTAGCATTCGATCCCTATCCCTTCTTCGGTGTCGAGCCAAGAACCCGTCGCCGGTCAACTATACAGGTCATCGAGACCGTCTGCAAAGATGGGTTCAAGGCTACAACAGGCAAGGTGGGCAAGAGTGTCGTCAAGCACGTCGAGGATGTAGGCAAGATAGCGAAGGACGTACCCAGCGCCTTGAAGGGGGCTCAGACCAAACTGAGTTCGAAAAGGGCCAAGGGGAAACTTCGTTGGTTGGAAAAACGCAACTACCTGAGTGGGCAGGAGAGGCTTCTGACGCAAGCTCTTGTTGGTTGAGGCGTGATCTTCTCCTTGGTGGAGAACCCCGGAGATATATCATGTCCACAAGAGTCACCACGTGTGGGAGGATGGGAGATGAACGAAGGGCGCATGAAAGGTGCTCTCTGCGCTTTTCAGTAAGTTCGCCACAGCGGAGGCTATCTTCGGCAAGACCGAGTGGATACTGTCGAGGGGCTGTGTTGCGAAGAATGGCTTTTGGATGATTGTGTCGAAGCTGTCAACCCGCCAAGGCTATCGACTCAATTCCTGAAAGTGTGCGGGTAGGCAGGGAGCTTAGTCTGTCAATCAGATTTCTCAATTTATCCCATGATCTCTACTACACCAGGGCGCTAATCTGAAAAAGATAACTGCCGCTCTTTCCATTGTCCCTTCTCTATCCTAGCCTCCTCTACTCCCAACTCCATGTTCTCGGCTTTCGTTACATGCGTGTGCTGCAGGCAATTTTCTTCCACAACTCGACCTTGTTGCTGCCGAGTTTGCTTTCGTATGTGCCATTATTCGCCTGACACAGGCTCAATTGTTGCTCGAGGAGAAAGAGATGTGCAGCTCAACCTAAACGCATGTCCGTAGAGAGGAGCAATGTTGAGTGTCATGAGCCCGACATCTCTTCTGACCACTGCATACCGAAGCAGAACCCCTATAGCGGCCTAGCTTCCGACCGGCGGCCGTTTCCGAACCCCCAGGCCAATTTGATCTAACGCGTAGCTAATCATTTCGCGTCAGCTCGCGAAGCGTAATACCTAAGTAGGTCAAAGTGCGTCTACATTCTCCACCGCAGTCATTCACCTTATTACGAACAAGCAGCTACCATCATTGCAAGCTGCGAGTTTCGAGGCCATCTTAGGACAATATGCCGCCGGCCACCGAACACAACAAGTCTGGTGCTCCGAGAGTGGATCTCCGCAGCGCGATAGGCCTGCTACAAAGCTACCAAACGGCCATCGACGGCAAACCGGATGCGGAAAAGCTGAGCCTTGTCGACTACCTTCGACAGCGTCCAGATCTGCTTGATGTCAACGAACTGACTATAGGCGACGTGGACGAGCTAACAGGTCTCTATCGCGCAGCCGCACAGCAATACGATAGCTATTTAGGTCAAGCGTACGATGAAGCACCGCTCGGGGCGATACATAAGGCTCAGAAGAAAACAGATGCGGGCGGAAGACTGTCACCAGAGGCTGAACTACGACGACCATACACCCAACAGGCAAGTAGCGTAGGTTTTCGAGCAAAGCCGTCATCCTCATTGCACGACCGTAAGAACGAGATCGAGGTACCGGATGAATGGGCGCAGGGGTTCTCCCAAGTCATACAGGACAGCGTCATAGTTGATCAGCTACCGGGTGACCTCACAGACGACCCGGCAGAAGACCCCAACGCGCAGTTCTCGGTGGGAAGGAGTTCAGCGAAGCGTCCGCAGCCGGCGTTGGACGTTAAGTTTAACGTGCTCAACTTCGCAACTCCCATTGCGTTTACTATTGCGATCAAAGACTTCAGAACGGGGCGTAATCTTCTCAACACGTGGATTGAACACGGAGGACTGACCGCAGACGAGATGATTGAAGGGTATCACGACAAGTGTCCAGATGGATGCCAGCTGCACAAGCGCACCGAGAATGGGTTCGATTTAACACATACCAGACATGCGGAAAAGACTAACCCAGCACAGCTTCAGAAAAGCTTTCCTGCGTTATTATCCCGGAGGTATGGGTTTCGGTACCGAATTTAGTGAGATGCAAAACGTTATCTTGAAAGCAGGCTTCGACCCAAGAACGCACGCCGTCATTTCCTACAGCACAAATCTCGAACTTCAAATTTTCTGGAAGGTATTATCTGATCTAGATTTGACAAACCACTCGTAGCCCCGACGGTCAAGGAAAACTTCCAGTTGAGAAACGGTTTGAACTACTACACATGCCTGCAGACAGTCAACATCCAACATGTGGCGGAGAACATGCTGAAGAGCGCGCCACGGGACGGCTACAGCTTAACGGGAATATACAGGATATCATTCGCAATCGAAGAACTCGACATCATCCGCATAATCACCGCGTTTGGACCGGTAAGTCACTGGCGACAAGCGCGGAGCGTTCTGGTGGCTTCTCCGACCACGTCTGGTCGTGATACAGACAGAATGGTGATACCTGCTCAACCCACCCCATCGCACCGGAACAGACAAAGAGTTCGCAGGTGGAAGGCCACTAAACGAATACAAGGGTAGCATGGCAGCTATCGGAAACTCTAATGCAATAAGTCCTTGAACTAGGTATCCTAAGACCTTGGCGAAGGCCGGCTTTCACGGACCCGAACGCTAAACAGAAGATCGGTACATCTGGCTACCTGACTGCATCATCAGAAGCGTACTCAGGCTACTCAAAGTATACCCCAGATTTACTACTTCACTTGTAAGCCCCACATTTTCAAGATTGAAAAGATTTCGGGGAACGGCACAGTGCCGAATACGCGATGGGTATTCTCAGCACGAAAAGTGGGATATTGTTATGGTCCAAGTTCATTACCTCAATGAGTGACATAAATGGAAGTGGCCTTGCATCGATCGATCGCGATGTCTTCCCAGCCGGCGCTGGGAAGCCAACATGGTCTGACTTATTCGCTCCTTCCAGGTTTTAGCCTCTGCGTGGAAGACAATGAGTAATTGGACATTATGCACTATGCGACTTAATTGCAGAGCCAACGCCAATCAAACAAACCACTACTGCTAGACTGTATGTATATTTGGACATAAATACAGGCCTGGATTTGGCAGATCAGCCACGTCGTGGTAGCCTCTTGAGACCTGGGCAGCCAAGACGATCTACGGCTTTAGTATCGAACTATTAACTCCAGCACGGTGTTCAAAGCTGAGATGTATTGCACTCATTGAAGGGGGCTTGCTGCGTCTACGACGTCGACGTCAGATTTACTCAAGTACACTCCGCAACTTCGCCCGGCCGCAGTATTGACACATGAGTTGATGAAGTTAAAGTGTAAGTAGTCTCCACGCGTGTTGATGTATGCGCCGACGAGAGTTCGTCGGTAGGTTGTAGTCTGGAGTGCGTACCTGTTGATCCGTCAGAATGGGTAATCGCCCACCAAAAGACCTATTAGAGGCCGTGACGAGGGAAGGGGAAGCAGTGCCGACCCAGTCCGGCAATTCCATGTGTCATGTCGCCAAGGCACTACCCCGCGTATGGCTTTGTTCGCGTAGAGGAGCTTCACTCCTCAACCTCTCAAATAGCTCCTGTTCCCTTTTCCGATGGTGGCTTGGAAGATGGACTCGCGCGTGGTGAACGAAAGCCCCGTATAGGATAAATGCAATTGCCCTGACCAACAGCATGGCGGGCCAAGGCAGCTATACGAGCCAAATGAACCTTTTGCTGCAGTCGCAACGACAAGCTGCCGAAGACATCTCAAGATGAGCCGTGTGTATGCCTTGGAGTAAGGTCCGGACCACGAAGCAGCGCTGGGCAATACTTCCCCGCGTCGCAGTCACGACACTTACTTCACCACGGTGCCAGTTGACGACGTTCATCGAGAAGTTATGACTTCATCACGTTCGTATCGAGCTCGTTCGAGATGGGCTAATGTGAATAGCTTCAGGACTGGAGTGCCATGACGGTACTTCGGCTGTGTGGTGGAAGCCAACACTATGCTCTCCAAGACAGTAGGGCGTCTCCAACGTTGAAAATCAATATTGTGAGACGTAATTGTGCAGGCACTTGCCTAGAAGAGGATGAATTCGTGGGAGCGAGACGGGATAGCTCTATTACAGCCCATCTATCTATATGAGAGAGGTGAAGTATGCTGTTTCGACATCAGTCACCAAGCGGATATCCATCGTTCAATTTCAATCGGTCGCTGCAGCCATCTAATATTCAACTTTCGCTCACTACGAACTCAGTCGTTTGATCCCTTGGACCGACCATCATCATGCGCCTTACACAAGCCGCTGTCGTTGCCATCTTGGCCTTCACAGCCGCTGCAAAGCCCATCGCCGCTCGTGGTGATGATGTGAAAGCCCACGAGTACCAGAAGTGCTGTGAGCAGCGCGACAAGTACGATCATGGCAAGGTCTGCATTCCGCCCAAGGTGGAGGTACCCCACGTACCCGAGCCGCCTAAGGGTGACGAGCACAAGAATGAAGAGCCGCCAAAGCCGAGCCCGGAGCACCCCGAAGCACCCAAAGAAGAGGGGGAAAAAGACGATCATGATGATGGCAGCTACAAGCCTCACCCCCCGAAGCCACGACCAGAGCATCCAGCTCCAGAGGACGACAAGAATGACCATGATGACGGCAGCTACAAGCCTCACTCACCTATGCCGCAGCCAACACATCCAGCCCCGCAACCTGAGCACCCAAAACCCGAGCATCCAGCTCCAGAAGAAGACAAAGACGATCACGATGACGGCAGCTACAAGCCTCACCCACCTATGCCGCAGCCAACGCATCCAACACCTCCGAAGGAGACGACGCATCCAGCACCCCCCAAGGAGACGATGCATCCGGCGCCGCCCAAGGAGACCACGCATCCGGCGCCGCCTAAGGAAACACACCCAGCTCCTCCAGCTCCTCCAAAGGAAACACATCCAGCACCGCCCAAGGAAACACATCCAGCACCTCCCATGGAGACACATCCAGCACCTCCCATGGAGACACATCCAGCACCGCCCAAGGAAACGCATCCAACACCGCCCCAGGAGACGCATCCAGCACCTCCCAAAGAAGAGCACTTACCTCCATCGCCAAAGCCGGTCCCAGAGGCTGACCAACATGGGTATTACACCTTCGGCGAGGAGATTAGTCTGAAATGTGAGGGTGGCAAAATCGTAGTCAAGGGCCACAAGTACTAGATTGGTGCTGGGCGAGAGGAATGAAACAAATAGCACTCACCTTTTACCATCAAATTGTTGGCATAATACTATACCTGGAGCTGCTAACCATGTACTTGTCTCATGACGTCTATCATGTTTGTGTTGTGTGTTTCGACTACCGCCTTAATGTTGGTAGGTGGCGGCGAGACCGTTAATGATTCGAAGAAGCTTGAAGCATCCGCCTGCAAAGTTGATCAAGTTCGCATGTTGTGATGTTGGCCTTGAGGCGAAGGTAATGGATAAAGTAATCCAAGTCGACAGAGCAGCGGGTGTAATCTGCGATGCCAAACACGCGAGTGCACTTGCATCACGGGTTGTGAGGAATACCTCTTAGAAGCTCTTCAAGACCTCTGGAGACAAAGTCAAGACTCTACTGGCTGAGTTGGTCGCTTCGGCCGACGCGCACAAGGACGCCAAAGATGAAACCCACTTGCATAGGTAGAGCATGAGAACTCTAGGTGTTTTGCGAGACGAGGTCCGTGATGCGGCATGATCGATCGGGCAGAGGCAGTCGGAAGAGTGGTGATGTTCGCTGTCGAGAAGGCCTCGAGGCTGGCTGTGTGGCTGAGGCCAACGCGCCACTCACGCGTCTCTCGAACCCTTTCTTTGCTTGTTTGGAGGGCGACGAGAATGCGAGGAGTAAGCACGGGTACAGACGCGCTGCATGTGTTAAGAATAGTGATATACCGTCTCTCCTGCGGGATGATGCATGTGTACCTTGGAAGAGTGTCGCGTGACAGTGGGATTTCCAGTGACGTAGGTCCGTGCGGATATCAAACAGCTCGAGCTCCGCCCCGCCGCTTTCATATACAAGGCAGCAGCCGTCAACAACGCAACACTCGCCTTTTCTCTCTCACTGCACCCATTCACGCTTCATATTGTCCATCCCAGCCTTACATCACCCATCACCGCCATCATGATGAACTTCGTCCTCTCCCTGCTCCTCCAGCTGTCCATGTTCATGCTCGCCGAGGCAGCTCCCATTACGGCGCAGTCAGCTAAGCCCTGGCAAGCTGGCACCGGTGGCGGCATCATTGGATTCATCGTCCTCGTCCTCGACATTATCGCGTGGAGTAAGTACCCACAATGTGCCTAATAGCACGGTTGTCGCGCATCGATCAAAGCTAACACGTGCTCTAGTCGAGATCTTCAAGTCCAACCGTCCCGTCCCGAACAAAGTGCTCTGGGCCCTCGTCGTCTTCCTCTTCCCCGTCGTCGGCATGATCATCTACTACCTCTTCTCCAACCGCCAAGCCCATAACACCTACGAGCCCATCCCGGCATAGACGAGCCAGACAGGCTACGCGCATACAAGGCTTCACGCAACCAAAACGACCGCGCATCTGTATACGCTTACGCGCCTGTTGGGACGAGCGCATGTGCCGTCACGAGGGCAGATCGGAAGAGAATGGCTACCAAGACATCCTACATGAGAGGATCGGCTGCCGCTGATGCTGTACAGGTTTTCATTACGGTTATCTGGCGTAACGGGTTCAATGTTTCATACCCTCTGACATGACAATCAATTCAATCTATGACCACCTAATTACTTCCCTTCAAGCTGAAGCCCCTACATCTATGCTAACAATCCTCTTCGCCTTCCACAAGACAGATCCCTCGCCACACCCTTTCAAACCTTCCCCAAGATACCTTCCGTGGTGGCGAATTTAGCAGACAGTGCAATAAGCCCACCCATCAAACTCATCACGCCACTGAAAATCGACACTTCTTTGAACCCGCCGTATCGATCGATGAACGCGCCGTTGATTGGAGGGCCGACGAGAACGGCGAATGCTGCAACACCCATACCCATACCCATGTACGTGCCAAGATTCCTCGGGTCCTAAAACAGTGAAGAGACCGAGTCAGCGTATGCCTCATGCATTTCGCACAGTTGACTTACCTTTGTACACTTGGAAATGGCTGCTGAGCCAGCCGATATGATGGTACCCGATACAAAACCGAACATGACCGAGTAGACAATGATACCAGCGTTAGTCGTTGGCTCGTTGATGCAGAACACCACGATGGCGGTGCCAATGCCGGCGAAACCGAACATATTCATTCCGCCCAGCTTATCCGCGAGTATTCCCGGAATAATACGACCAAACGTGGAGGACCCGTTGATCATGGCGAGGAGGTACGATGCGAGTAAAGGCTCCATACCTCGGCTGACGGCATAGACTGGGAGGTAGAAGACCGGTATCCACATGCCCATCATCATGAAGAACAGTCCTGCAACGAGCAGTACGTATCGCTTCATCTTCCATGCTTCGCCAAGGAAGACTGTTGTCTTGCGGGGTGGTATGCGCGGCTTGATGACGAAGCAGGCAAATATCATGAAAGGAAGCATGATGAAAGCGATGATACGGATGCACCAGCCAAAGGACAGAGACGAGTCGTTCAGAAGTTTGGACAGGACGATTGGAAAGATGACACCGCCGATGGAGGACCCTGATACCACGATACCGAGGGCGGCGGCGCGTCGCTTGTCGAAGTAATGTCCCATTACTGCAAAGGCAGGTGTCTGAAGGAAGACTACGCTGGAGCCCATGAGGATAGACTGCGCGAGGAAGAACTGGTAGTACTCGCTACACAACGACAGCATCATGAGGCCAAGGACGTATGTAAGTGTTGCAGGCCGCATCATCTATTCGTTCAAGTCAGTACGAGATCAGTGTCATGCCATCAGAAAATACTCACCCAAACACCAAAGCGATCAAACATCGGGCCCCCTACAACACCTCCAGCAAACTGGATGAAACTTGTCAGACTGCCTATCCACGCAATCTGGTCCATGCTGTGGTCTCTCAGTTGATGAGTAGAGTAGTATTGTTGCAGGACGCCGAAGCAGGAGGTAAAGCCGAGGCAGCAAAAGAAGATGCAGAAGCCGCCTAGAGCGTTCAACCAAGCTGTTAGGCCACCGTCAGGAGCAGGGCCTAAAGCAGCGATCTCGGCGTCAACGGTTGCTTGGCCGTCATCGTGGGCTGATTCGATAGATGCTTTTTCAACATCGTAGGAGGGAATGGAAGGAGTGCTGGTACCAGCAACGGCGCTGGGTTGAGCTGTTGATGTGGGCATTTTGACTTTGTATTGGAAGGGCTTGGATTAGAGTTCTGTGGCTCTAAGACAGTCGGGAAGTTGATGAGGGCTACAACACTCATCCTGACGGTTTATATGTACAATCTTGTTGCTTGTCATATCGTCATGAGAAGGGAGAGCAGAATCCGAGGTCGGATGTAACCTTGCAATTTCATTGGTCAATACTCCGAGAAGGCTTGGTTTGGCGTTTGTGAGGTAGGGTACATGGACATTCTAGGCGCGCCACTAGATAAATAATCCAGCTATATCCGAAAACTTATCCCCGCCTCGCTGTTATTATACTTGCACCGACTCCCTCCGGGCCGTAGATCTAACTTCCGTTTATCGAACAAAAAATCTACACGCACAATGACTGACTTCAGCCGCAGACGCAAGAGGCCTACTATGTGAGTCCATCCGGTCAACCTAGGAAAAGGCTGTATACCGTGGAGCCCACATTGACGTCAGGTCGCCCACTTTGCACGTTTTTACCTTGCTGTAGTCTGCAGACCTGTTTAGAATTTCCTTGTATAAGGACAGAAGCTAACACATCCAGCTCTTGCGCATTGTGCCGGAAGCGAAAGCTACGCTGCAATCGAGAGACACCATGCAGTAACTGTCTGAAGAGCAAGACTGGCTCTTGTGTCTACGAGACTGGAGTGCCGGATAAAAGGCAAGTAGCATCCAATATGACGTGCGATGAGACATTTACTGACTTCGTACATCTGTCTTCAGGCCTGCCACATCGCCTTTCACACCCATCCAACCGTACATTGGAGGCCCAACATCCAGGAGCATACCTAGCATACCCTCAAGCTCATCCGTCACAGCGGCCAATACCGGCATCGACCGAAGTCCTTTCGAACTTGATGCTATGAGAGCACGTATCGCCGAGTTGGAAGACAGGTTATCGCGGGCTGAAAGCTCTACTACCCTCTCGCCATCTTCGTCGACTCCTGCGTCGATGCACACTGTACAGACTGTCAGCAGCTTTGCCTGTACAGTGAATGTCCTCCAAGACACCCGGATGCCTAGCGGTACAGCTATCTCTCGAGGCATTGCACACAAAAACCGAGTTTTCGGACAGAGCCATTGGATGAATGGATTCGTGAGTAATTGCCGATGTACGAACTGCATGTAAGACAAACACTGACTTCGTACACCCATCTTTAGGTGATATTCCGTGATATCATCGAGACAATTGAGCCCTTTCTACAAAGCGGAACGCCCAACGTAATCACCAGTATGCAACGAGCAAAGCCTTTAGCCCGGATCATCAAATCGCAACGCTCCCCAACATGGCCTACGCCTCCAACACGAGACCTTCCTCCGAAGCATGTTTGCGATGACCTCATCGCTGCATATCTTCGAACCATGGAGACTCTCTACCGCGTGCTGCATGTTCCCAGCTTCCAACATGCATACGATAACATGTGGAAAGACAAATCGGAATCTAACATGGCATTTGTGATGATGTTGAAGTTGGTCTTGGCGATTGGAGCCATGATATACGACGACAAAGTGTGCATGCGAGCCAACGCGGTGAGATGGGTCTTTGAGGCCCAGACCTGGCTGTCATCACCCTTGTTCAAATCAAAGCTCGGTATCCAATATCTACAGATCAGCATCCTCCTCCTGATCGCACGAGAGCTTGTCGACGTTGGCTCTGAGCTTGTGTGGATCTCAGCGGGCGCGGTGTATCGAGCAGCGGTATATGTTGGGTTGCACAAGGACCCGTCGCAGCTTCCGAGTACGACGGCTCTTGAGACTGAGATGCGCCGCCGGATATGGAATACAATCCTGGAGTTGTCGCTTCAAATGAGCATGGGATCGGGTGGTCCGCCATTCATCTCATCGGACGACTTCAATACAGCGCCACCAAGCAATTTGGACGATGA